ACTACTGTGTGATAAAATGTGCCACGTGTCTGATCAGAGGACTCCCGTGATCTCACCGAGAACTCCAACATCAGTCCCGATGGATTCAGCCACAAAGTCTGCAGATTTTCCCACAACGCCGCCCTCCAGACCCGGACCCCACGCTCGGATCTTCTGCGGCCCGGCCTCAGGGCCCACCTGAACCTCGAAAGCACTGAACACAAGAAAACAAACGTTATTCGAGATCTATGTACACGTCCAGATAACATTTCACTCCAAAATCCAAATAAATCAATAAATCATATTTTGTATAACAAAAATAAGCCAATTTGAGGACCATTATTTGTGAAGAAAGAGTTATATTATTTACAAAAAAATTAAGGACTAAAAATAGGAAACTATGAATTTAAAATAAAATAATTTTTCATCATTTTTTATTATTTAAATTGTTGCAGTGCAATCTATGCAGATTTAAAAATTACAAAATACAAAAATTACAAAATTATATGTACAAATAAAATAAAATTACAATTACAAAAATTTACAAAAGAATAAAAAAAAAATTACAATGAGATAAATAAAAAATAATAATAAAAAATGCAAAATGCAATGCATTTATTTCTATAAACGTAAGTACATTTCTTTCACAATTAATGTAACAACTTTTAACACATTTAAACTGTGGCAATGCAGTATATGCCGATTAGAAAAATTTACAAATAAAAAATAAATTAAACATTTAAATGAAAGCAATTACAGAAATGAAAAAAGTGGAAAAAATTAAAATTTTACAACAAAAATTTTTTTATATATTATATATATATATATAATTTAAATAATTTAAACAGAGTGAGAAATCACTGTTAAAAATAATAAAAAAAAAAAAATCACAATGCATTATTATAATAATGATAATTTTGGGGTAAAATGTGCTTAATTGCCATGAAAATAATGTGAAATTACAGAAAAAATGTATGCAAAGTATGTGTTTAATTTAAGGTGAAATAAGACCAGATAAATTACTATGAAGGTCAGCACGGCTTAAATGTCAAAATGCCATTATGTGTCAAAAAAGCGCACAGCTAAACACCTTATTTAACCGAACGCGTGTTAACCTGACAGCTTCAGCAGCACAAACAGCACCGATGTCTCTAGTTAGTGAGAATGTTCCATTTTCAACACTCGGACTCTACGTCAGCGGAAACCTCCCATCAGAGAGAGTGTGTGTTAACAGAAGAAACACAGCGGGGAGAATATTTCACTTTAACAGGGGTCACGGCTCCGCTTCCCTCCGTGTGTGTGTGTGTGTGTGTGTGTGTGTGTGTGTGAGGCTGACGTCCAGGTGAACAGCAGGCCGATTGTCTTCAATGCAGTCTGTCTCCTTCACTCAGCCATTTGGGCTCCAGCAGTGCAGCGATCTGATTGGCCGATCCGCCAGGCATGTGATCACCAGAAAGGCCACACACCACGACATCTTATAAAACCTCCACCAAATGCGAAAAACACTTAAAAGAGGCATTTCTGGTGCTGCAGCAGCTGCTTTCTAACACAAAGCAGCATGTTTCTGCAGAAGCGCATCTGTCAGCAGCCGTCGTTTGCGTTCCTCAGTCTGTTAAGTAAGATGTTTACTCTATACAGTGTGACCGGCCGTGTCCCGGTGGTTTCCAGAGCTCTGACAGACCCTCCAGTCGCACACTAATGAGTCTGCTTGGCAGTGCACACCACCTACATATCAAGAGCAAAACCTCATCTACAATTACAATCATAAAATCATTCATGCTTTGACAGATCAGCATAGATTTGTTTTTACTGGAAATTCAAACCAGGTATGTTTCATATATCATGCACCAGTGTTATTTCAGTTTTATATACTATATTATTATAGCATTTATTACCATTTTGATGGTTATTATTAGCTTTTATTTATATTTATTACAGTTTTTGTAATTTTGGTACTCTGACTCAAGCTTTTTCATCTAATACTTATAATTCTTTCTTTTTGGTTTTAATTTTTTCTTTTAACATTTCTATTTATCTTTCATTTATACTTATTTCAGTTTTTCAATTTTAGTACTCCAATCTTAACTTAAACTCATTTTTCATCTAATACTTATATATTTTTATTGTATTAGTTTTATTAAATAAATATTTATATTTACATTCATTAAAGTTTTAGTATTTTTAGTACTGCAAAAGATTTTTAATTTTAAGTTTATTTCTCATCTAATGTGTTTCTATTCTATTTAGCTTTAAATATATTAGTTTTAGTAATTTTAGCACTAACTTTTTCATCTAATACATACATATTTTATTAGTTTATTAAACTTTCTATTTATTTAACTTTAATATAAATTCCAATTAATTCTATTCTATTTAATTCTATTCATTTTAGTAATAGTTTTTCATCTAATACTTACACATTTTATTTTATTCGTTTTTAAATTCCTGTTTAATATTTCTAATTTATATTTATTCCAGTTTTAGTCAGTCATTTTGTTACTCAACCTAAACTTATTTTATTTCAGTTTAAGTTTTTCATTAATACTCTTTAAAAGTATCTCATTTATTTTTTGTAAATATTTATATTTAGCTTTAATTTATTATTATTTCTTGTTTTAAGTTGCTTTTCCATCTATTATTTACAAATTTTATATATACTTTAATATGCTTATTTTAATTCAGCTTTATTCTGATTAATAAAAAGATTTTAATAGTTAACAATAACAAGTTCTGTACTTACTTTAAATATCATTTTGTCCATAATCCAGTGAATTAAATATTTTACAAATGGACGATCATGTAGTATAAACTCCACATTAATCCCTTTCACATGTACAAACGAGCCGTTTGCAATCAGACAAATTCCCTGATGATCCTTAATGACACAATCTGAACACAATAAATCCAGTCTTGATTTGAATCCCAGCACACACACACAGATCATCTATAACACGGTCTGTTCTGATTTAGACCAAACACACACATTTACCCCAAGCCTCGTGTGTTTATATACGCTTATGCCTTCATACCCAAACAATCATGATCAGATTCATCCGGTTGGCAGATCTGAACAACACTGATGCAACGAGACACTCAGAACATCTGGAGCCGATCTGTTTCCACCTGTACAACAGCACTGGTAGCACTACAACAAACTCTACCACTGCACAAATCACTCCAAAATCAAAAGGAAAAAATATATATATTATATTATATAAACTAAGCCTATTTTACAACCTCTTTATGCATTTAACTGTGACGAAAATGTGATATTATTTATTATTAATTCTTTAGAATTAATGCAATGCAAATTGTTAATATTTTTGATTTGCCAATCCAGCCTATGCAGCTTTATAACTAAAAGAAATAGTTTTAAGTTAGAAATTACAATAATGAGAACCTTTTGAGAGTAATAAGAATCATATAGTTCTATTAAATGTTATTTAAATCATGGCAATGTGTAGCACCCACTGCAGATTAAATGTAAAAAAAATCCAAAAAAAATAAAAATGACCATAATGAGAAAGTATTGAGAATAATAATTCTAAAAAACACTTTACTTTATGCAATGCAAATTGTTTAAACATTTATTTTGTGCAATCCGTAGCATCCACATAAGATATGCAGATTTAATAAAAAATAATTACAATAAAAAAATTTTTTTTTAAATTTCATAAAAAAATATTTATGTTAATAATATGCATGCTAATAAGCAACTAGTTAATAGTGACAACTGGTCCCTATACTAAAGTTATACCTATTAATTTATACTGTGGTAATGTGTAGCACCCACTTTAATTTATGAAGATTTAATAAACAAAATTCTAATAAAATGAACTAAAATATTATTTAAAATATGTATAATATTATTTATACTGTGGCAATGTGTAGTACCCACTTTATACAGATTTTATAAACAATTAAAATAAAATGTTACTTTCATTTAAAAGTAGTTTTAATATATTTAAAATATTTATAATATTAATTTATACTGTGGCAATGTCTAGTTTCCACTTTAATCTATTGAGATTTAATAAAAATAAAAAAAATAAAAAAGTAATTTAAAGTATGATTTATATTATACTATGGCAATGTGCAGGACCCACAATCTATGCAGAAAACAAAATAAATAAATGTTTCAACCGGTAAGGTATGATTGGTAGCACTAAAACAACAGAATTCTTGAGCACAATGGAGTGATGTGAAGTGGCTCTGGCTTTGAAGGTAAAAGCTGCATGAGTTGTAGAGCTGTGACTGGTACCTCTTGGGAATGTGCTGTCCGGCCCAGGTGATGCTGACGGTGTATTTGCCAGGTGTGTGTGGATAGTATTCATACGAGTAAACACCGTCTGAAGCATCCTTCTGTTTCACAGGCTCCTCTAGACCTTCTGCAAGACAGGGAAAACATGAGAAACTTCAACTATTCAACCACAAACCATTAGAAAAGAACTGCAGGGATAAAACGCATTTCCCCCCCAATGCATTTCTTTCCTATGAATTTGAAGATCATGAAGATGAATAGCAGGAGCAGGTTTGCTCAGATTCCACAGAGATAAACTTGTGTCCTGTAAGTCACAGTGTGAACCGGTCAGGTCATTAATCACAGTCAGAGGAGCTGACGCTTGACCTGCTGATGGAGACTGATGTGTGTAGATGATTCATCTCAGCACCAGAGTCTGGGAAACTGTCCCTGCTCACTCCAAATACTCAATCAACATGAAAAAGTGCCATGTCAACTCATTACTCGAGATTACTAGAGTTTTCATTTTTAGAGTTTTGTAAACTGGTCAAGCGAGCGTCTGTAACAGGAGGGAATGACTGTGTGTTGAATCAAGCGGTGTGTTATTTGCTCACTCACTGGGTCCTTTAACAGTGGCCTTCAGATCTCCACTGCCAGCGTTACGGGTGTCCACCTTAAAATCAGCCACCTGACGCACTCTCACCCCTCTGGGCTGCAGACCTCGACCGCTGGCTCGACACGCTCCGGGAACAGCCGCTGAAACACACAAACACGCACAAGCTGCTGATTTACTGACAATTATGCAGTATATATTTTAATATCTTCATGGGGAAAAACTGAGTTATACAAAATACAAGTTAAAGTAAAAATAAAATAAAAATAAACAAAAATCTTTTTTACATGTATAATAAAATGTAAAAATAAATAAATAAATAAATAATAATAATAATAAATCTGGTAAAATCTTACTAAACCAGTCCTTAAATGAGCTTAAGGTGTAAAACGTTTTATTAAATGTGCAAAAACATAAAATCTATAAATTGCATTTTATAAGTAAATAAATGTAATTTTACTACAAAATTTGTATATTTATAATAAAAATATATTTGAGATATTTATAATCAGTACAGAATATTGTACATATGCAGATAATTTTATTCTTTGTCTTTTAGTATATTTAAATAATTACTTTTACTTTAATATTACTTTTATATTTCTAATTCAAATTACGTTTTTATATATGCAAATATATAGGAGAATACAGTACATGGACCATAAAAAACATGTATTTGCATAATCAATAAATAAAATATACAAATAAATGTTTTACTATACTATTATATTTATAATAAAAATATTATATAGTTATAAATGTATAATATAAATGTACATGTACTATAAAAAAGAAAATATATAAGCATTAAATATGCATTATTTTTTATTTTTCTATTACATTATTATATATTTAAATACATAAATGCATATTAGACATAACATAAAATACTTATTTGCATATTAAGCGAATAATTAATAATTTTACCATTCCTTTTTATAATTGTAAAAAAAATCCTTTTTATATT